TGGATGGCAAGATTTTCAGATCCTGTACCTTCTTATAAACAGCAGATGAATCAAAGTTGGAGCCTTGTATAATTGTGTCCATAATCTTATCGTAGACTTTCGAGTTAATGGCGTATTCTTTATTTTTTAGATTTTCTCTAGAAAGCGAAAATATTGTTTTCATCGCTTCATTTGCAGCTACTCGATTTTGTCCTTCAAATACCTTCGGAGTAAAATCGTCTGCGATGAACTGGCAAAGATCTTCAATCTTCAAATTTTCGCTTATTAAGGTATCAGCAAATAATCCGATGCATATCAATGCAAACCTCATAAGTCTTGTGATCGTGCCTATGTACATCAAAAGCGTGGTTTTGTAAAATGCAATTTTTAATTAAAGGGCTATCAAAACGAAGGCTATTGGTGCTTGACGCACGCCGCAGATTACAGGCCAACTCAGCATGTAAATTCTCCCGAATTTGCGTACATTTTACAGGTTTTAAATTTTAAATGGCAGTTAAATGCCATACAATTCTATTCTTATGAGATTCAGGAAAGTCAGCATCGCGTATCAAGCGTTTTCGAGCATTTTTGAGAATTCCATTGATTCTTGCACCCTCTTTCTTAAATTCAAACTGCAATTTCTCCAGTAGAATCAAATTAACTTGGCGATATACACTTGCAGCAGCTGATCTTGTGGTTAGTGCTGTTAGTTCCACAGCACAGCTCCCCCTGAGTATTAGCATTTTGGATTGAATTATTAGCCCCAATAGCATCTATTGATTTAAGCCTAATAAGCTCCTGGCTGGTGGCCACTTGATAGCTGTTCGCAAAACCCAGGTATCTCATCCCCGTAATCAAGGTTTTATGGCGACATATAGCATGGTGATCTGCCAAACCCATGTTCTCTCAAATTAGAAGAGAAATAGTCAAAATCTAACCTTAACTCTGTTTATTAAAACATAAAACATATTAACATCTAACCCTTGGCCTTGACAATTTGATTGAGTGAAAAATTGGCCCATTCCATATGAAAAACGAAGAACCTAATCTTCCCTTTAAGGACATTGTCGTCAATCCTAAAAGCTTGCAAAAAGGCGTGTCACTTGTATGACAGGTGATAGCAATTTTCTATCAACACACAATTTGTGTTTGCCTTTGAATCTGCAGAGTTTACAAACGCCGCATTGTGCATGGCATCGTCTCGGAAAGACATTTGCAAAAAATGAAGGACATAATTTAAAAGTTATGAACTACAACATTTTAAAATTTAAAGTAGCTMAATGGGAAAACTAGATCCATCCTCTTGTGCGATTCTAGCAAGCTTTTGACCTTCAGTATTGGATTGGCACCAGAGGGATTGAAAATCAGCTTTTCCAGGTGTCCAAACTTATACTTGGCATAGGCAATGTAGAAAAATGGGCTTTCAATGCTGTCGATATCAGAAAGCTTGGTTGGCAATTTTGAGGGCGGCAGTGCGTCTATTCTCATCCTGAATTGAAAAAGCGCCCACAGTGTCCATCTAATTGAAACGACGCACGAAAAAAAAAGAATTTCGTTAATGATTTCTTGGGCTTTGTCTTCTGATAGTGCGAAATCGGCCATGCCCGCACCCAATTCTCTAATGTAGGTGTTTATGAATGCGACAATTCGGGCATCATCAGGAAAAAGATCGTAGTTATGCATATACGGTTGCAAAGTGGAAAAGCAATTCATGTATTCGCAAAAATGGTTGGCAATGTCCAATGCTCTGCTTCCAAACCCAGCATATTCATAGTCTATAAATGCGAGCTTTGTCGGATCTGTTTTGGATGCCATTATATTGGCATTAAAAAGATCTCCGTGGATGAAAACGATTGCCTTTTGGTCCTTGGATATCTCTTGAAGAGTACGCGTAATAAAATCTAAACTCTCTTTAAATTTCTCGTCATAAACACGGATTTCACCGAGAAGATCACGGAGAAACGGATTGAATGACGAATATTTGGATCCAAAAAACTGTTCAAAAGAATTTCCAAGCAA